CAAAGATATACTCAAAATAAGTTTTGACCTTTTCACAATTGATAACCTGTTTTCCTCTGAAAATGTTACAATGATCTAAAAAGATGATAGTCAGATGGAGCATTATCAGGAGAGTAAGGAGGACGAGGTAAAATAGTATTTAACGTCATAATCTTTTCGTATGTGATTCAAGGAATATTTGATGTAAATTATTGTGAAACACCAACACGATTTTACAATTAATTAATAATGGGTGTTTTTTCTGCAATTTCTTTTAGAATGCTTCCAGTTGATTTTCTGTTTCGTTTTGATTTAGGTGTTCCTGAAAGACATCTTTTATATCCTACTAAATACAGAGTGCATTTTTTCTCGGTTATAGTCCAGGTTTAGATATGATTTTACCTTCGCCGTTATCTGTAAGGAAACATTTAGTATTCATTGATCGAGCAGCCAGTACTTCATTTCGTTGAAACTTATAAAACCATTCTCTTAAAATAATTTTTCAGGAAAACAGATTTTTTTTAACCAAGTGGCTGTTATCGCTATTTCCCGTATTGATGGGGGGGTTTCTTTCCTAATCTTTTATTTGATGCACGTAGTGTGTAATGCCGACATCAGGATTATGTTCTAATTTTCTCTTTTCTCGTTTTGCAATACGTGGCTCATTATTAGAAAGCATACTAGTAATATTAGCCATATCCTTCTAAAGATATTTTTTGGAATTTATGGACGAAACAGATACAGACATTGTCGGATGAGATTTACAAAATCTGACTAGCACTCAAATATATATATATATATATATATATATATATATATATATATATATATATATATATATATATATATATATATATATATATATATATATATACTCTCCCTGCCGAGATTCGGCGTATGAGGGTCAAGCAGATCAGTTTCCAGGAAACCGACAGCGGCACATGAGATTTGATCATAGTGGTGAAGGCCTCGTGCAGGACCATCCACACTTTTTGAATACAGGGACCTAGTGCACCGAATGCCACAAGGTTCCCAAACGACCCTCCGCAGGTTTTGAATTCAGAGTTTTCCTTCTCCTAGACCAGTGCCATCCAAGGCTATAGAACCCAATCTGTCCTGCTATTTTACCCATAGCTGGAAGGAGAGTAAGAGGATTCATAAGGTATTAGTACGTAAGTGAATGTAATGGATTCGACTGGAATTCGAACTCGGCTCTGCGATTCCTCAATCCACGCCGCTATCCTTACTCCACCGTGCCTCCTACACCCAAACACACACACACACACACACACACACACATATATATATATATATATATATATATATATATATATATATATATATATATATATATATATATATATATATAAAGAAATATACTCTTAAGGTGTGCTATATTTATGGGATAAAGTGCTCACTATCAGAGATAGAACGTGTGTAAATATAAAAGTGAACATTGAAGTCAACACTTAGAGGCGAAAGGCTGTTTCATGCTAGATGTTCACTTTTATATATATATATATATATATATATATATATAGTTTAAAAAGCAGGAGGTCAATTTAAATACGCGCCCACGGTTTCGATCTGGCGGACTCGTCGGGCGTTAATTTGAAAATGACCACTTTAACGCTGTATCGAAACAAAAACCACAAAGAAATGATCATTGAAACCAAAAATCAGAAATTGTAAGCCCTTGCCCTCATATAAAACGATTTTTATTAAGTGAATATGAAGCCGGTTAAAAAAATCTAAAATACAAAAAAAAACGACTGTTACCCTTTAGACACGCCCCTCATCTTCTATAACAATTAACTTACATATTTGACTTTCCTTTTAACTGTATACATTAACAATACACCGACATCCCTGTCCTTTTCTATACTGACCTTCACCTTCTTTTCCCCTTATCTTCCCATAACGCCCAACATCCTGTCTATCAACTATTATACGCCTGTTATGTTTCGAATGATACTTATTTTTTGAAATATAATTATGTAGCGTTCTGTGTGTTCTTTTGTTTAAATAAAGCGTTAAAGTGATCACATTGAAATGGACTCTCGACGAGACGACCAGGTCGAAACCGTGGTCACGTATTTTAATTGCCCTGATTTTTAAACTTAAAAGCTCTACATGTTGTTTTTATTTTTACTTATTCTTTCTCACCTGTACTGAGCACATTTTATTACTACTGTTCCCTGGTCTGATTCAACTCTGACCAATAACCTCTTCATATATATATATATATATATATATATATATATATATATAATTGATTTAAAAAAATATGGTTTTTCCGCTACACAGTTCCAACCATGTTTCAAAAAATAGAAGCTAAAAACCCTGAATTTAATTTTGCAATTAAATTAAAAGCATTAGTTCCATTTCATCTTCAAGCGAATTTTGGGAGTAACTTTGCGGAAAAAACCATATTTTAAATCAATTAATTTATAATATTAATGCTCTGTAAATTTACATTGAGCACTATTTTGTAAAAAATAAAAATATCTATAAGTACACC